AAGGTACGTATTGCCTTGCCGTTGGTTGTAGAGAGATCCAAACCAAGCATCCTCCCGATCGCCTCGTGCGCAGAATATTCGTTCGACACATGGCGATGATAGTGGCAGAGGCAGGATCCATTAACATGTTTACTGCGATCTAATGTGTACAATCTTCTTCAGCGGGTAGCCGAACCTCGTACTCGATCGTGCCCAGGGCCCAGGGCAGTGAGGGCAGTGACAGACTGACAGGACAAAGCGCAGGGTCTTGGCGCCGCCAGAAATGCCCCGCATGAACTTGTTCTAGTGGCCGACGCCGCCACCTTTCCGAGGGATGGTGGATGGTGGGTGGGCGTCGTGGGAGGTGACCACCACGCACCGCTTGCACCATCCACTTCTGTCAGTTCTGTGACCTCTCGGTGCGCCATTCTGTGACCACTAGAGTCTTGAGGGGACTTTGAGGGGTCCATCTGCCTCGTGCAGGTGGATCTTTTTTTCCAAGGTTCTCCTGCGAAAACGGGCTTGGCCTGGTCTTCGACTCTGGGCAGTCCATCGCCAAAGAGCCCTGCGCCATCACTCGCTTCCTTCCCGCATTTCGCCCGGCCGCCGTTTGTTCTGCTCTTCCCCAGCTTTTCCACTGGCTTCCCGTATTGCTGCTTGCATCGCATAGTTCCTCCGCATCTTCCCTCGTCGCGTGCCCTCTTTCTTCAACTTTGCCAATTCCTCGTGCATATTATCATTGTACAATTCCCGCTTCGGCGACTGCGAAGTCCTTCTGAACATGGCAGAGCGCTTCCATACATGAGCGGCCTTTTCTGGAGCTGATTGCTCGCCATCATTAACTGAGTTGTCTTATCTTTTGATCTCGATACCGATTCTTCCATCATGCGTCGATCAAACCCCCGATTGCCCGAGGCTTGCCTCTCGGTGCTTGCGCTTTCTTCGTGCGCAACAGCCCTCGTTGCGACTCCTCCGAATGCGCTCGAGACGTATTGCCCCATTTTCTATGCCGAAAACCAGCCTCCGACCGACTGCGAACCGAGACAGCCCACGTCCTTCCTAGAAACCCCCCAGGTTGAAAGAGATGCCACTGCCTATACGGCCAAGGCCAAAGACGAGCCACTCGAGGCCACCTTTGAAGCTCTTACTGTCATGCAGCATGACTTCTTCGTATCGGATCAGGGAACATGGCCCGAAGCCATCGACTGGACTGCGGCCGTCATGGAAACGATGCTGTCAGGCTCATTGACTTCGCTCTCGCAAGCATTGGCTGTTCTCGATATTGGAGGAAGCGGTGATAAGGGGGCCAAAAGAAACCTCATTGATACTTTCTTTACTCAATTAGTGGCCTCATACTTCGGCCAGGACGACGTTGCGATCCGCCACCAGGTGCGTCTCTTACCCCCCATAGATATCACTTCCAAGCAGCGCATGCTGACCAGTACATAGGCTTTCGACGACATTCTTTGGGTTGTTCTTGGTTGGATCGACGCCATCAAGTTTATTGACATACACTCAAAGCTCTTCTATCCCCGGGAAGGCCTCAACGAAAGCGCAACGCCAGGCCTGGGAGACGCCTTGGCGAACGGGCCCTGGCATGGGCAATACTGGATACCCTCTTTTGCTCACCGGGCCAGAATCTTCTGGGACCTTGGGTCCAAGGGTTGGGACACACTACTCTGCGACGGCGGTATGAACTGGAACCCGAGATTGGAGCCCTACAAGAACGCCATCACGAACGAACTCTGGATTGCGGCTTCGATCTCAATGTACCTCTGGTTTCCAGGTGATAACAACACCACGCCGTGGATCAACCGTGCCAGTGGTGTGGAGGCCACACGAGAGCCCAAGTACCTCGCCGCTGCCATTGAAGGCTACAGATGGCTCACTGGCGTCAACATGACCAACCATGCCGGTCTCTATGTTGACGGCTATCACGTTGATAGGTCCAAACCGGGCAACACCAAATGTGATCAGCGTAGTGAAGCTGTCTTCACCTATAACCAGGGAGTGCTCTTGACTGGCCAAAGAGGCTTGTTTGCCGCCACAGGCAGTGCTTCTTACCTGGAAGATGGGCACAGGCTGATCCAAAACGTTATCAAAGCCTCGGGCTGGGATTTGACGCTCAACAAGCCAGTTGATGACTTGTCAAAGCTCCCTCCAGGTTACTTGCCCCCCTGGCGAGGCCTGGGCCGAGGAGGTGTCATGGAAGAAACCTGCGATGCTAGCGCGACTTGCTCCCAGGACGGGCAAACCTTCAAGGGCATTTTCTTCCATCACTTTGTAACCTTTTGCCAGCCACTGGACGCCGCCATCGTTGAACGCGGCATGACTGTCAACGCAAAAGCGTACAATCAAGTCAAGACGACCCACGCATCGGCCTGCCAGGCCTATCTGAAATGGGTTGAGCACAATGCTAAAGCGGCCTTGTTGACTAAGGACAGGGAAGGCCGTTTCGGTACGTGGTGGGGAGCAGGCATTTTCTTGAAAAGTGCGCCGACAATGCAGACGGATGGTATTCCTCACGACGCACCCAATGTGACTGATTACCGTAACTACGGGCTGCCGAACGACGGCGTTTGGGCCCATGGTAATCCTGACGAGGTATGGGCACCAAATGGCGAGGCGCGCAAGAATGAGAAGAAGGGCTACGTCCTGGTCGGTGATGATGAACACTCTGGACAGCAGGTTCTTGGTGGTTCTGATAGGCAAGGATCTCATAAAGTGGACGAGGTCGGATCTGAACGGCACGTGAAGTCAACGGCAGCGACTGGTGATCCGAACGACCGCGGCCGGGGTAGGACCCCGGAGACGCAGAACGGCGGAATGGCTTTGATGCGGGCTTGGTGGGAGCTCGTAGCGGCGTCCAATGGTACGTACGAACCATAGCGGCAGATGAGACGACGATGAAGATATGCATGATATGAAGTCATTTTGGCTATCTAGCTATTTGCCTTTTTGGGCCTACGAGTATAGACGAAGTTCTTCCCCGTATATACGTACGCATGGCATAGCCGCCGGCCGGTTACGCCGGTCTTCGTTTTGGACATTCCTGCTTTTTTTCTTTACCTCTCCCGCATTCGCACTTCAGTAATTATGGTGGTCGAGAATGCTTATTGACTGAACCGGAGACATCGTACTCAATGAGGCACCATTCACTGTGCCCCACTACCTTACTTTCAAGGGTGTCTTACCCGCGGGACGCTATCAAGACTACGACTGCTGCGCCGTACCTGACCACGCTAAAATCGTACCAAACCAGCCATCATTGGTCACCTAGCCGAGTGCGAACGATGCTGACATGCTGACATCCTTCCCCATTCCCGCTGTAGCCTCCAATCTCCATTGCGTGGCTGCTCAGCCATCCATTTAGGGGGCCTGGAAGTCCAAGAACTTCGAAGGAGTGCAGGAGGCTAACCAACACCTCGCACCTTTGATCGAAAGAGGGGCACCCCCGGGGTTCGCGAGGGCCGCTTCGAGTGGTTAAACTTGGGCGGATCCGGCAGCACGGTGCCGGGCTGGACCCACTTGGCTGCCGTGGCTTGGCAGGAGATTCGCTGCTGGGTCTTTGTCCTGCCCGCTACGCCAGAACGCCGTGCGCCTCTGGGGCTCTGGGGAAACGCTTTCGAATCGACTTCCCAATGGGGGAAGAAAGCTTGGAGGGCGCCGATATGGGCTTGTGGGAATCGAGATGGGGATGCTGGGTGGTGGTCTTCCCCCCTCTTTGTTGATATTGTGCTTTGGAGGCAGCTAGATATAAAGGGTTGGAAGATTCCTGATGATTTACAAGTTTGAATTTGGAAGAGCATCAGAAGCATTGAGCATCACCAAGCATCAAACATATCCAATAGCACACTTTGAAAATCTTTCCCCATACAGACCAACACATATCCATCATCTTAAGCATAGTATCGCATCTATCATCAAGTCTTCGTCCATTCAACCAGCCACATCCACCATCAAGACCCGTCACCAAGCTTTCCGGTCTCCAACCTCCAACCTCAGAAGCAAAAACACCACACAAACTCACACAATGGGTCTCATCACCGGCCTCGTCTCAACCGTAGTCCACGCCGCCGCCGGCCGGAACCCCTACAGCCACAACCACAACAACCAGTCCCCCGTCACAACCCCCGGCAGTACTGGCCCCAGTACCGTCGCCGGCCCCCACGAAGGCCACAACCACACGGGACCCGACGGTCAGCCCTGCGGCATCTGCAAAGTCGCCCTCCCCTTTGGCAAAGGCCGCGAGGCCAAGCGCGAGCGCAGGGCCGCGCGCGACGAGCGGAAAGCTGTGATTTATGCCATGAGGGCGCAGCAGCGCGGGGGCAGGAGGGGACGGTACGGGTATGATACTGCTGGGTTCATGGGCGTTGCTGGACCTTATCAGCAGCAGCAGGGATATTGCAGCAACAACGGAAACAACATGTCACGTGCCGGCCCGTCGTCTGGGCAGGAGGAGGGCGTTGGGGAGAGGAGACGGGCTTCTACAGGCGACGATGTACCGCCGCCTGCGTATTCTGCTGCCGGACCTTCGTCTATGAACGTTGGCGTTGAGGCGAGTCGGAGCGTCGAGGTTTTGGGGAATGGTGATGAGAAGGAGCGTCCGGAGAAGGCTTGAACGTGGTCATCGGATGTTAGTGATGACTGCTTGCTGGTTTCTTTTGTATGATAAATAGAGCGAGCGTGGCGTCAGGTTCTTTGGGGATAGATGGTCTGAATATTCTTTCTCATGGTTCGAAATCACCCTTTTTATTTGACTCTTGGTCTTGTGTCTAATTCACAGATGCTCGGATGCTGTCGTGACGTATGCTGATGTACAATTGGGGCTTCTCTTTCCTCCGCACCCCGTCTTAGCCCCCCTTAGCTTTTTGTATCAAGACCTGAACCGCCCGTGGCATGGTCTGGTAAGCAAACCTCGTAATTGTTTCCCCATTGCCGTGCCACCTTCGTCCACACTCCTGTGGAAGGTCATGCTTTTGTTGTCTGAGAAAGTGCAGTCCTCCTACGAGAACAGCATTTTACCGCTGACCGGAGAGACGACGGCTCTGGACCTCGCCGAGGGCCTTGGTGCCGCTCAGGAAGATGGAGGTCGCGACGATGGCGACGGCGGGCAGGGTCTGGAAGAGGGTCCAGGCGCTGTAGTACATGAAGAAGACGCCCTCCATGGCTACGATGGATCCAAAGAAGGCGACGTGGGAGAGAGGCGCGGCACCGAGGGCCTTTTGGATGTGGTTGACGTTGGCGCCGAGAGAGAGCCACTGCAGAATGGAAAGTCAGTCAATGTTACATTTTCATGTTACAGGACACATTGTTTCTCCCAATTGTAGGCGGAAACATGGAGGGATAAACACTTACGCCAATGAGGAGAACGGGAATCGTGGCCAGAACGGCAATGACAAAGGCCAGCGAGATAATCTTGGGAGGGCTGCGGGGGTCCTCGCGGAAGATGTGGCTGATCTCGGGCTGCTTGCCGTAGCGGAGGGGAGCGTCGTAGGTCGGGGCGGCGGCGCTGGCGTCGCGGCTCACGGAGACGTCGAAGAGGGTGGTTTCGAGGGCTTTGGCGGCACCGAAGGAGCCGATGACGATGCTGGCCTTGAGGGGTTCGTTGGCGAGGAGGAGCTGGACGGGGAGGTCCTTCTGGGCCTGTTGTAGTTCACGAGGATTAGTCTTCCCTACTTGCCATTGAGGGTTGGAGAAGAATGGAGAACGTACAATGTCGACAACGCCTCGGCCAGTGTCCTTAAGCTCAAGGGGGAAGGGGGCCTCGAGGCCAGACTCGGTCTCCTTGAGGATCAAGAAGGCCTGATGCGGGCGCTTGGCCTTGTCGCCCTCCTTGGCCGTCAAGATGACCTTGAGGGTATCCTTGGCTCCCAGAGAGAGGGCAGTCTTGAGAGGAGATGTCGCGCTCAACCTGTTGGGCAGTCAATTCGTCAGCAATTGGAGGTTCTCGTACATCGCGGCTTCCTTCCTCCTTCCCACCCCAGAGCTTCCAGAAAGCGGAATTGGCAACAACTCACTTCTCTTTGGTGGCATCCTTGCCCTTGCCAGTAATCGAGACAGTGGCACTGTCGAATCCCCATGATGAGGCGGCCTGCGCGGCACCGGCCGCAAACAGCGCGAGGGCTGGCGTCAGGGAGTTGAGGAATCGCATTGTGCTGCTGAGGGTGCTTGTCTGTGGCAGCTTTAGCTTGTGCTTGGGAGCTTCACATCACAGGCCGTTCACTTATGGACAGCTTTCGTGTCCATTACGAACTACCGACCGTGCACGGTCCATGTATAGCGGGACCCTGCAACCAGTGCTTTTGTTGTTAACACCGTGTTTTGTACAGTACAGATAATGACATCTCACTCTTCAACACCTGGCCACCTTGCTCTGTGTCTGCATACGTAAAACAAGGCCAAAATGATGATATTATCCATGGACCAGGCTTGAGGTCTTGAAATTCAAATTCGGAAATATCGAAGACTCGCTCATGTTGAAAATTTGCAAGGCGATATCTGTAAAGCATTCTTCAGTTTAGAGACACAATTGTACGGATAATGCCTTGAAGCCTGTTTTAGGACATGGATGAACTTGCTACTGTGAGATTGCGAAGCGGAGGGCTATCTATGTGGTCTAAACGCATCACTTCAAACGGCCTAAATCATAGCTCATCTTTGACGTCGCTCGAATCGCTAGCAGCCTCACCCTCTATCTGCTTGGGTAGGTGCTCATCCAACTCCATCCACTCTGCCGCGAAAACCGTGAGGATACGCGCCCAATCCCGTACTGTTGGTAGGTCCAGATGGACACCGTCGTCTTCAATCTTATGCCATACGTCGGGGAACGGCGTCGGGATGATGTGCAGGATCTCGACACCTCGCTGCAAGAACGGTACGTGATCATCTAGGACGTACCCACCACCGAAGCCGACCTTCTCTTTGTTCCTGTCCGTCAAAAAAGGATGTTTTGGTTTGGTTTCAAGGATATCCAGTTCACGCATACGATGTTCGATCTTTGCCATCTTCTTATACGCCCAGTGCGTAGAAGGGAAGTAAGATGGTATCCGGGGATTAGGGGCGCCCAGAAGATCGATAAGAAGGAAGAGGCTGATGGACGAAAGAGGTGTCTTGTATAGACCATCAGGGTGAACAGAGTCTTCCCAGCTCTTGGCGAGCGCCCTAGAAGACGTCAGACAGACAAACCAGTCACGCTGAAGTTCGCCAAACATACCTGGCTCCATAGAGCGAATCTGTGTCCGTCCACGACACCCATGCCTCCTCTCCATCAAGCAGAATGATCTGGACGCCCTTCTCCTCTTCGAGTCCGCTCCCAGCGTCACCTGAGGCCTCCATTGCCTTCCACTTCTTCACCAGAGCTTCCTCAATGTTCCTTGCCGCGTGGAGCAGCATCGCGCAAGGCGCCGCACTGTCAATCGCCCCAATGAACCCTTCCGGGTGGTACAGACTGTCATAGTGCGCGACGAGCGTGAGATACTCGACATCTCCGCCCTTGGCCCACGGCGGGTCGCGGCGGAAGATGAGGTTCGTGAAGGGTATCTCCTTATCTCCGGTCGCGGGCGTCTTGGATGTCGAGTTGTGCCACTCAATGATCCACTCGGGCAGGTTGGCGCGGAAGAAGTCGACAAAGTGCTGTTGCACCTTGAGCGAGCCCGGGGTGCCGGGGACGCGGGGGATCAGGATGGGGGCCAGCAGCGAGCCGGTGTCAATGTTGAAACCATCGCCACCCGAGGGGATCGCGCGGAGGGCCTCGTCGCCGAGTTCGGTGTAGGCGGTCGTGGGGGTGAAGAGCGAGCAGAGGACTATGAGGATCGACCCGACGAGGGGTAGCTTCGGGAGGGAGCTTAGAAGACCCATTATGGTGACGGCGGCCAGGTCGGGCGCAGCAGGCTCATGCTGCTCTGGAACTGTGATCTGGGTTGTTCGATAGGTACGCGCCCGACGGCTTCTCTTTGCGCAATGTGTTCAGGTTGCGACCGCCGTCATGTTGGGCGGGGAGAAATGTGTTCTGTCAAAGACCCTGAGATGCAATGCGACTCAGGTCCCACGAGGTCCCCGCCGAGTGGTCGGGGCATTTGGTGGTCGAGGTGGAAATATGCCGAGGGAGGCTCCACTCACGGAGCCAGATCCACCGCTCCGCACGCCGCCTGGGAAACGCTAGAGGAATTCTGGGGTTGGGATGTCAACACCGCACTCGACATTTGGCACCGGCATGTAAGGCCAAGCCGTCGTCGCAAACGTTCTTTCGAGGTATGTAATCAACGTCAGCTCGCAAAAGACTGGCTGATGGCGAGGTCCAATCATCGAGGAACTTGCCTTAGTCTTACCTTAGCCCCAGTCATGCACTCTAATCTCCAACGGATAGACCACATCGCCTATCCCCGATGGTCGGCATCTTCTCCACAAATCCTTCGGCGTTAACGCCACCTTCACTTACACTAGACGCCATCACGGAAGCATTTCTTCATCACTGGCCATAGTCCAACCCCTCAACTTGACGAACAAAAGACCTTGCGGCAAGGAACCTTTGACATCACTTGGCATGCACCTATTGATTCTAATCTCCGTGTCTTACAAGCCATTGATAGGCCACTACCAGAAATCTATCGCCGAGTGGCTTGAACGACGGACGAATTCTATGGATCTGACATGCAGCAGGATTCTTGCCCTCTTATATCATAGAACAGTTGAATTAGACTCGAAGCATACAGACCGTCGGGCTATAAGAGACAGGATGGTTCCGCTTCTATTGAGGTAAGGCCTTCATTATCATCAACACATTAGAACAATATCTTCACATTATCTTGACTATAAGATAAATCTTCTCGACTTTCGATACTCAATCAATCCTCCGCTTTACTACTTGAATCGAAATACTGCACCTTCAAAATGGATTCTCCGGTCTGGTTCATCACTGGCGCCTCCTCAGGGTTCGGCCTCGCCATTGCCAAAGAAGCTCTCTCGCGTGGCCACCGCGTCATCGCGACCGCCCGCAACCCAGCCAAGATCTCTGACCTGGCCTCTGCGGGCGCCGATACACTCCCATTGGACGTCACCGCCGATGAGGCTACCATCACAGAGACCGTCAACAAGGCCTTTGCCATCCACGGCAAAGTGACCCATGTCATCAACTCAGCCGGCTACATCCTCGAAGGCACCATCGAGGAGGCCAGCGCCAAGGAAGTCTTTGACCAATACAACACCAACGTCCTCGGCACTCTCAAGGTCTCCCGCGCAGTGGCCCCCCACCTCCGCGCCCAGGGCTTCGGTGCCGTCGTCAACATTGGAAGTCTCGGTAGCTGGAAGAGCGGTCCGGCCTTTGCCATGTACTGTTCCACCAAAGCTGCCGTCAGCCTGCTCACCGAAGGCTTCCACGACGAGCTGAAGCCGTTCGGTATTGATGTCTGCATCCTTGAGCCGGGTTACTTCCGTACCGGTTTCCTGAACCCAGGTGCACGCATCAAGGTTGAGCAGTCTGTTGAAGCGTACACCGATAGCGCAGCGGGCCAAGTCAGAAAGGTGCTGGAAACCGTCGATAACAACCAGCCTGGTGACCCGATCAAGGGAGCGCGTGTGGTCGTGGATGTTCTAACCAAGTCTGGGGTTGCTGAGGGTCGTGAAATCCCTCAGAGGCTGGCCTTGGGCACTGACTGCCTTGCGGTTGTTCGAGAGAAGTGTCAGAGCACCATGGCTCTTCTCGATGAGTGGGAGTCGATCTCCGCTTCGACCGACTTTTAGCGGCTAGGTCACTCGGCGGACTTTTTCAAGGCTCGTGAGTTGATTTTGATATTTTGATGGCCACAATGAGGGAAACAGAGAGATGTCACTGTAGCATACGAATTTGATATAACTATGTTTATTTTATAACTACCCTAATTGGATGATTTCAGTGCGCCTTACGACTCCTCAGCCAAACAATCTCATGATAATTGCTAACATTGATATCTTTGCACCGAAAGTCATAAAGCTGACACCTTCATCCCCTTCGTATGTGAAACGTGTGATTTTTTGTGAAAAAGTAATTGGAAGCCTCAAGAGAATTGAATCCCCATTTCTACCTGATTTGAAAGTATGTTGGAAGGCTGGCGGGTGACATTGAGGAGTTGCTTGGCAAATGCTTGATTCAAAGCTTATTCGCGTTTAAATCATCAACATCATGCATCTCATGACTCACGTAAAGCTATAAATGGTCCTATTTCGCCCGAGGGACTGATTAGACCACTTGAGATCTACGATCGGTCGCCAACGAATACTCAAAGTATGAAGTCATTATGCAAAGTGCCTCACGATTTCTACACAGCCTGGAAAGGAAAGTGAGGCCAACATCGTATTCGGGCCATATCCGCCAATCTAGCTAGCTATCTCTCCACCACAGAGTGAACCTCATTTTTGGAACATCATAGTTGCTCATGTCTGTCTAGCCCCAGATCTCGCACTTGGCGTGGCACGCGGTAGAAACGCGACCGACGCTGTAGCTGAACATTCCGCCCATGGCACGAACCGGGCCGGGCTCGCAGTAGACGCCCTCAATCGCGGCGTCGGGGGCGCCGTAGTAGACGACTTCTGTAGTTCTGCATTGGCTGCGGGTACCGAATTCCTTGGCCATCGATGCCTTCAGCTCTGCGGGGATGGGCTTGTCGCAGGTATCAAAAGGCACATAGCACTTGTACTTGTCCCTTGGCTGGTTCTGGGCCAGAGCGCCTGAAGCTGCGCAGAGGAGGACAGCGAAGGTGAGAGAGCTGAACTGCACTGAAAAGATGTTAGACTCGTGGTTTGAAGATGTAGCCAAGGCATACTTAGTACGTACTGTTGTAATTTGGGGTGGTGATATCTAAGTTGCAAAGGACAAAGATTGTAAAGAGTGACAGTAGTTTGACTGAGGTTGTCCTGTGATAGTTTGGGAGTGTTCTAATGAAGATCTGAGTGTACATGCACTTTTGAGGGCGTAATCTTGAGATTTATACTCAAGTTCTGTAAGCTCTCGACGAAGTCGGACCGAGGCTGTCCAGAGAATAGGCAGACTAATCATGGCGCAATACGCACAATTGAGCTCGCAGGTTAGTTCGTGGTTTAGCGGTCCTTCTGTAAGTTTCTTTCGCCTCATCTCGGCCTTCTAGATTGCCTCGTTCAATCCTCTTTTGGCACAGCATCGGCCCTGGAACAAGTTGACAAACGAGAACGACGAAGGAAACTTCATTGAGGACTTTATTAGCAAGAATTCAAGTACAAGAGTCAACCGATTATGAAAACATATTAAATGAACACGAACAGGCTAAGTGAATGTTGTTGAAGGGGACTTTTGACTCCAATGCACTATGCAATTTCGGCCGCCTTCCTCCTTTAGGCTGGTAAAAGGGAATCTGAACCCCGACGGGATATTTTTGTATGACTGTTGAGCAGTTGCCGCCTACTTTCAACTTCATTGAATCCTAAAATGAGCTATACTGTTTGTGTTGGTTATCTCGGCCCAGCCGAACCTTGAGGGATGCTGGTTTAAGCTTTATCTAGCGTAGTTGGTAATCCTTCGTCTCACCACGTAGGGTTTTTTCTAAGGCAAAGACTGAAAGTTGACCTGTGCATACGAGTTGTACAGTTAGAGACACACTGAATTGCCTAAATGCTTCGCACGTTTTAGGGAAGGCCAACTCTATGAATAACAAACCTAGATTTATGAATGCGAACTTACACCGGGATGCTTTCGAACTTCATTCCATTGGCGCCGACGGAGTGAGAATGCCGCGGCCTGTTTGGAACTTCTCACGGCTTCGCGTAGGAGAAGCTTCATGATTGTGAGTTGAGCGAGTTCTCTTGAAGTTGTCGCCGAGCGGCTTCTGGCCTTAAAAGGGAGCCTCTTTCGCCTGCCAAGAGTCATCTTCTCTAACCTCATCACCACAGTCTCTCACTCCTTGAACACACAATCATTTGAATCTGACCATTTTCCAATCTTTCAACATGCGCTTCTCTGCATCAATTTTCACCGCCGTGGCCTTGGCGTCCATGGCCATGGCTCTTCCCACCGAGCTCCAAACCGTCGACTTGGCTGAGCGTGACTTCGTTGTCGAAACGCGTGATCTCTCCGGCCCCTCGTCTTCTGACGAGCTTCTCAGCCGTGCCGCCTCCGATGAGACTGCCATTGAGATCCTTGAGCGAAGCGACTCGGACGAGGAAGCTGTTCCCAACACCGAGCTGGCCGTTCGCCAGCTTCCTCCCTCCAAGCGCAAGAATCTCTTCACGATCACCCTCAAGGGCGGCAACGTCATCTTCAACGGCGCCATCAAATTCATTCTCGAGGCCGTTGTCGATAGCACCAACCGAGTCACTACGTTCCACCTCAACCCCTTGGTTGGCGGTACCCCTGGCTCCACCGCTTCCATGCGCAGCTACGAGTTCAAGAAGAACTTTTTCGAATCAACCATCAACCGCGTCTCTGCTGAGGTTTCCTTCACTTACAAGACCGCTTCCGGTGTTATCTACAACTTCCTCGCCAATGTTGTCTACGGAATCGACTCTCGTCTCAGCCTCAAGCTTGAGGATGTCCAGCTCTTCGACATCGAGAAGGCTACCCAGCAAATTGCTGGCAAGGCGGCCACCAATCTGTTCCTTGGTTCTTACGATGATGATTACAAGGACTTGTAGATGAAAGTCTACAAGAACTTCCAAGAACTTATGGCCGAGGTCTCCCATCAATATACGTTGTCAGTTGTTAATGAAGCCCTTTTTACTCTACAACAGCTCAAGCCACCGACCAAAGTAGATGGGGGACGGCCTAATTGTTTGGATTACGGCTCCTGAGGATGAACGTGGATTGGTATTTGTCTCAATCAGTAGTCTCTTAATTTCATGTTACGGAAAGATGTTGGGAAACTCAAAGATACGTGGATAGATTTCCAATTGATTCTCTATGTGCCATTTATTGACCTTGAGTAAAATGCCTCTACCACAAATTCTGGTTGATGGAATGTTCAGTCTTGGATTCGAAGTGTGTGCTAGAATTGAAAACTCCACGTTACTAATCAACAAAGCAGGCGCCTGGACTTCTTGTCACATCCGGCCTTGCGTATAATTCCACGACTAGTTTGACAAAGCTTGGCGTCTGTTTTGCTTGGTGGATATCAGCGGAAATATTGTCACACACTGTGGAAGTTGGTAAATGCTACGAGTACCGACATTTTGTGGGCAAGTGGTGTGAACAGTGAGATTCAAGTGACCCGCATGTCAAACTCGAATAAATCCATTGAGCCTGCTTCTCACCCCCTCCTTTCATTTGGCCTTTGCGTATCCTCAGCTTCACTCACAGCTTGGATCCCCTCCTTTGCGACGTTGGGTTTCTTTCCCTGTTTCCAAAGCTTGACGTCTTGCGCGACTCGTTATCATCGTAGAATAGCAATCGCAATAGCCTGCGAACATGGCAGACAGGAGTATCAAAGGTTCTGATGAAGATGACTTCCGGTATCTTTCAGTCCCTCGCCTAGCCGGGGCCTACCATTCCGACAACGAACTACGGCAGAAAAAAAGGACCACACCCCAACCGTCGTCACCTGTCGTACAAGTGCGATCTCAAAGACAGAAGCACCATTCCACAGCTGTGGAGTCTGGCTACGGTAGCCCGTTTGCAGAAGCACGCTCTCTCCAGAACAAGGGGCCTATGCATCGGAACAACGTTGCATTTGGCCTTGTAGCGAACAAACCCTTGGTTACGCAGCCGCGCTCTACTAGCGCATGTCGCTTCGGTAACAAAGTCTATCATTATAGATAACTCGGCAGAGACGAGTTTCGTTTGATCAGAGTTCTCCCGGCAAGGACCTCCACAATAAACCTCGAAATATTGCACGGATCCATAACAAGCCCACCAACTTCGTTACTATATCTTACGCCTGGGGGCGATCCGGGAGACACCAAACGTTTAGAACTCGATGGCAAAGAAATTTGTGTTTCTTCAGCCTTCGTGGCGCTATGAGGGCATTTCGACAACAGAAGGACGCAGTCCTCGTATGGGTGAACGTACTCAGCATTGACCAACAAAACTCTGTAGAGAAGATGCAGAGAATTCAACTCATGACCAGAATCTACAGCTCGGCCAAGTCTGTCGCCATCTGGCTGGGACCTGAAGCAGATGAGAGTGGCACTGCCACAAGGGTTTTAAGAGAGGTTGCTCGGAAACCAGATGTCAGAGACTTCACGTCACTTCATTCATCGGGCGAAAGGAAGGCTGAAGTTCGCGTTGCCATCTCTCTCTTTGAGAGGGATTATTAAAATCAACTGTGTGTTGTTCAAGAGGTATTCAATGCGCGCGAGATTGTGGTTCACTGCGGCTGCGTTGTTCTTTCATGGAAAACTTATACGGACGCTGCCAGTGTTTTCCGAAGCAATAAGAAGGTTTTGAACCGCTACTGTCTGGTACTGAACAACGAGAGACCTAAACAGGTCTTTCATAGAATCACTTCACCTAATGTACGCGGCAATCCTAGCAAGCCATGGCCCTTCGAGTCTTCTTAAGAGTCGACCCCTTACTGGGTTCATTTTTGGCGAGTACTCTTTGTTGGAAGTGATGAGAGCATGCAGTAATAAAGGGGCGACTGATCCAAACGATTAAGATTTTGGAACTTTGGGACTGCTCTCTGAAGTGCTACGAAACGACATTAGAGCCGACTATAATATGACTGTAAAGTCAACTTATGTAGCGATAACAGAATATTTGGATGTTATATGCGACTCTATTTTTTTACTTACTGTACGTAAATAACGCTGGCCTTCCTTCCTGGGCCCCTGACTGTTTACATAATCCTGGTACAAAGGCTATAGGCCCTATGAAGCTTAGCCTGAAGTTTACGGTATCTTGAGGCTAGAGGGCTAGAATTGTGTCCGGTGGTAATTTGTTAGAAATAAGTGGCGCCGAAATCGATACCCGGACGTGGAGGGTATGTTTATTGAGATAATGGATATTTGACTAAGGAAAGGAAAGGGAAGAGTAATTTTGTGAGGGCTAGGGGAGAGTAATTGGCGCGTTTTGAGCAGGCGATGTAAGATTGGGAGAATTAGGATTAATAGACCTGGATTTCTGAATAAGTGTTATTGTATTATTAAATGCTATAGAATAGCCGTTGTCCGCTTTTTTGACTTATATATATATTTAATAAGAAATCTACTCTTAAATAAGAGAGACTAGATATCTATAATATTATAGGTAATTCTAGTTTATGTCTATGCGGTTATTAGTATTTTTAACCTACTACTTGCCTATATTGATGTTAGTAAACTTTAGCTAGAGAATAGATTTAAAGATCTTACTAGCTTTTTATAGCTTGTTAATACTAGTCGAGTCTGTTATTTTGCTAAAGGTAATGCTATTGAAGTTTTAGTTAGTATAAGGACGAATATAGCCTAGAGGATAATTTTTATAGTAGTTACTAACTATTAATTAATAATAGGGCTATCCTAGTTATATTAAGATTAGTACTATTCGTCCGGGTTATTATCTTTATCGACTCTTACGTACAGGTACTTAGCTTTAAACTTCTTAAACTACTTAGAGGTCTTTTTAATAACTAGCCTAACGTAAACATAGTCAGTTTAATCTATAATATACTTTAAGTAAGCATCCCGCGTGTGATAATAATTGCGATATGCCAGGTTATAGGATATAAAATAATATACTTTGCTATGCTAAAGTGGCCCCCCTACGACCTTCTCTACTTCCCTCTAAACTTTACTTTAGTCTCGAGAGAAAATGCTGGCTGAGCTAAAAGTGTTAGTGCGTATAGTGACTGTTTAAGCTAGATTATAGACGGAGACCTCTGCTTTAGGCGTAGTATTTAGTACGGCAAGGCTTAACGCAATAATATAATAAAAAAGAATATATAAAAACTTTATCTTAGCTTAGATTAATTATTAGTATACCTAAAAAAGGATATCTAATTAAAAAAAATAGTAAAAAAGCGACTAATAGCGGGGTATATAAAACCTAGGATACGAGTAAAACTATTTAATAAAGTCGAGAGGCTAGGAGGCTATAGTATACTTTTTATTATTTTTATCTAGCTCTATACTAATAGCTTAGAATATTATTAACTTCTTTATAAACGCTTATAAAACTCGCGCAATATAAAAAAGACTAAACGAAAGGATATATAATTACGGATTTATTCTCGTACTTATAATAAACTTAATTAAATAGGGTTAGTTACTTACTAGTCCTATATAGGTCTTTAATATATAAGTACGGATATTGCCGCTATATACTCCGTACTTAACTTACTAAAGCTAATTTATTTAGCTATTCTTACGCTTAGTATTTTTAAGTTAAAGTACTATTACCCAAACCCTTAGGTAAGTAAACTACTACCCGCAAATATACGGCCAGGAATTAAACTTATTTATTAAACTATAATATAGTTTAATTACTTAATATAGACTTTTATATTACTTATATCCGATGCTTCTAGAGCTTATTCGTTTATAGAACTTCTAACCTTAAGTTATATACTTCTTTTAACTTAAATAAATATTATAATATTTCTATTTAAAAACTATTTTTATTAAAGTAACCGTCTATCTAAAGAACTTATTATAGCCCGGGTCCGCTATAATATCGTTAACTTTATTCCTTATTCTATCCTTACTTAGCATTACTAATATAACGCCCTCTTAACTACCGCTAAGTTATTAAAGGCGCGGTAGTAATATAGTAATTAAAAATAAATAATTAAACTATAACAAAATAGTCGCCTTAGAGGAAATCCCTAGTTATAATCTTACTAAAGAGATCGAGACTACCTTTAAACCGCTACTTTATTTATACTTAGGATGTATCCTATACCCTATAGTCGACGCTAATAGTAACGCTAGGTACGTAAACTTTTTAAATAAGAATTCGATCCCAGTATTAAAATATCGTAAAGTTACTATAGGGGTATTAACGTATATAAAGAGAACGGTTATTTATTAAAAATAGGAAATAAGTACAAAGCTCGTTTTAATATAAAAAGTATAAATAAAGTAGGCCTCGGTAATTATATATAGTGGTTTTTTTCCGGCTTTATAAGTATAAAAGATCGACTTTAATAAGATTACGCTTTTAAGGGAAATTATATAATATAATATACTTTTTAATTATATAATACGTATAATCCCTTTAGGGTCCGGTCTGCCTTATTAGGGGCCATCTTCGCTTTTATAAATAAGCTAGTTTATTAAAATTAATATCAAATATCTTTATTACGTACTTTAATAAAACTTTATAACTAACTATAGCCGGCCGTAGCCGTTACTAATTATTAATACTAACTAAATTTAAGATATTATTAATAACCCCGCTACTATAGTATATTAATTACCCTCTAAATAGCTAAAAACTACTCCCTACTTTCTACTTTTTTTAATAGCTCTAGATTTTTTTCTTAATCTCTCTAAATTTCTTATTTTATTATAATAATATTAAAATATTAATAATACTTAGGAGTCGGTTAGGTATTTTAAAATTATTATTATATTATATAAGCTAAGTATTAATAATAGTAATACCTATAAGGGTATATACGTTTTTTTAGATTTTTAAGTTAATAGTAGCTAGTTTATACTTTTTTAAACGATCTTTTTATAAATTGGGATTATCGAGTATAATACTAATAAGATCGAACTACTAGCCCCTAAGGTATCCCTATAGGTCGACGAGTTAGTATTTTAGTATTTTAATAGTATATATTTAAAATAAATAGTTTAGTAGTAATAGTAATAGTAATAAAATAATAGTAATAGAGCGATAGTAATAAATAGCGAGGGAAGCGTTTTTTAATTTTAATAAAAGAAACGAAGTAACGAATATATATATATATGAGTAAAGTTAAAAGCGTTAGGGTAGATATTAATAATAAGACTTATAGAAATCGGCATTATTCTTAATAACGATAACGAGGGTATTTCTAATATTATACTATTATAAGCTACTATTACTTAGAGAGGTAGTAAACTTAGCTAAGTAAATATAAGCTTATAAAGTAATAGTATTGGGCGCTTAATATTACCGTTAATAATCCGTAATTATAAACTTTATAAGCCCCCCGACGGAGTAATCTACCGGGGCCGTACTATATATTATATATTAGAGAAAACTAGGTATATTACGCTCTATACCTAATTACTAATTAAAACTCCTAACCTTCCCCCGCCTATTTAGAGAGCGAGCTATACCTACTTTAATATATATAAAACCTCTTAATACTAGCTTATATAAATAACTAAATCTTATATTATATACTTTTTCTTATTAAGGGTTAGGGGGCCCTTTATATATTCCCTTACGTTTATAATATAGCCCATATTAAAAGGATTTTTAGCTCTATAAAATATAATTTCTAAATTAGCGTTAATATATTAAATCTTAATATCCGTATTAGCCCGGTTATTTATAGTATTTATATTATTACCTAACTAAATTCCGTATTATTAAAAAGTATTTTACTAATCTTTAAGTATACTTACGTTAGTTACGATAGCTATAGCGTCGAGCTAGCTAAAGAGGGTGCCTAGTTTAAGAGGGGTAGACTTATTAATAAGCATCTTTAGTAAAATAGGTTCTCGTCGAAATAGTATTTTAACTAGCTAACCTCTTAACTAATTATCTAACTAGCTATTTAAGTAGTAGTTTATATATTAATAAGTTTATTTAATAGATTTATTTAGTAAATTTATTTAGTTTAAATAGAGAGTAGCTTTAAGTAATATTAAAAGCGATAAGGATAAAAAGAATTTTTACGAGCTTTAAAAAATAGTAAATATTAGCCTATTTAGCCCTTTTTTTAAAAACCTTTACGTTATTATTAAAGTTTAGAACCTCTACGGTTAAAAAAGGCCGCCTTTAATTATTACGGCTAATTATTATAGCTAATTATTATGGCCGACCTTTATTATTAACCTTTTTAGCCGGCGCTGCTACTAAAAAGGGTAGCTTACCTATCCTAAATTATATAGTAGTTTTTATATTAAAATTACTATATTATGTTAAGCACATACTTAGGGCACATTACGTATATTATATAATTAAAAAATATATTATATTATATAATTTCCTTTAAAAGCGTAATCTTATTAAGGTCGATCTTTTGCGCCTATAAAGCCGGAAAAAAACCACTATATAAACTTTATAAAAAAGAAAATTAAAAAATTAAAAAATCTTAAAAAAAATAGTTTATTGAGATAGTAGGAGTATTTATTAATACTATATATTAATACTATATAATCGATATTAAGAACTGCCC